CTCCTCCTCTGGCTTCACACCTACCACCTCCCTGCTCTTGCTTTGACCTGTCACCTGCTGTTCCCTGCATGCTTTTCTGCTCTTCCTTGCCTTGCCAGTGTGCTGCTCTACAGAGACCTGCCCTTTCCTCAAGTGCAGAATCTACTTCCATAGCTGTGTTCACTAGAAAAGTGAAAGCCAAGCAGAGAGCACACACAGTGTTCTGAGCCCCATTTCACTGTGTTTCTCTGTCTTCTCTGCCCCCAGGCCCTGCATCATGGATTCTGTTTCTGAAGCAAATGGCACCTTTGCCTGCCAGGTTTTGAAGATGCTGTGTCAAGACAGACCTTCACAAAATGTGTTTTTTTCTCCCCTGAGCATCTCCTCTGCCTTGGCCATGGTCCTCCTGGGGGCAAAGGGCAACACCAAGTTCCAGATGGCTCAGGTAAGCTTTCCTGTCACCTGGAAGAGGTACTGGTCTGCAAGGCTTGTCTCTTATCTCTCCTTGAGCTTTTCGAGAACTGTTGAGGAAGGAGGGGTGAGCCTGGACCATTTCAGGGAGAGGGGTGCAGGAAGGGAGAAAGGCGAGGAGTCTCCTCCAGTGAAATTTTTTGAGGGATGGCAGGGTTAGTTTCCCCAGTTAATAATCTGGAGGAGACTCTGAAAAGTTTGCCTTGTAATTTGTTTAGGAAATGACGATGAGAAGTTGGGGTATAGCTCAGCGGTAAAGCATGTGCCTAGCATGCCTGAGGTCCTGGGTTGCTAATATCTATTTTTTATTGGAGTAAAGGTTTGCAACTGTAATTAGTCATTGATGAGTAAGGTTAATAAGTTTTGCTTTGTTTCTCTACCAACCTGCCTTGCTGAGTGGGGAGATAAACAAAATAATCAAAGGAAGGTTAACAGGTGTGTTCTAATTCACTTCTATAGACCATGGAGACCTGAGTAGCTATAATGAAACAGCATTCAGTGAACATCTAGAAAAGATTACAAATCAGTCACTGTCTCTTCAGGTTTTTTGTTTTGTTTTGTTTTTGAGGGGGAGACAGGTGCCTGAGAAAAAGCCTAAAAACTTGTGCATTGTTGAGCTCTACCCCTGCTCACACCTTTATGATGCGAGTATTAGGCACTGATGATGCAGGGTGACTTTCTGTTTCCTGGAGGACCCTTTTCAGTAGCATCTACTTGTTTTAATAATTTCGCTGCTCTGATAAAGGAGTGAAGGTTTATGCATAGAGGAAGTTCTCTCTGCCTAAGTCTTGGGATTTTTTTTTCTAGGTTTTATGCCCACTGAGAGCCCCTTTCCAACAAAGTGCAATTATGAATTCCCAAATGAAAGTGAAAAACAAGAAGGGAGGGAAAGTTTGGTCAATGGCCATTAAGTTACAGTAGGTTAGGAGCAGGACATTCTGGCTACTATAGAAAAGGATGATCTAGTACATATATTTCAAAAATAGAACTATTGCCTGTGACTTTATCAGATGTGACTTGGGAGATCTGCATACCTCCAGGGTTCAACTGGATGATAAGCACATGCTCATGACACTTTACTGCTGATATCCAGAAGGGAAAGTGTAAGGCTGCAGAAATCTCCTTAAAGGTTATTTGTTTTCCTTCATGTTGTAAGTGGTAAGACACCATTATTTAAAAAAAAAAAAAAAAAAGCTTTTAAAAGGAAAGTAGAAAAACAATTAAAACTCCCTAAGGACTCACTCTGCAGAGGCAGCTCTCTGAGAATGAGAGACATTTTCGTCCAGTCTCATGTCCACATTTTGTATTTAATTTTTATACTTTGATGACACACTGTATTTTTCTTTGCATAAATGTTCTTTCAATTAATGGGAGGATTCAGTGAGATAATTCATCTAAAGCAAATGTTCAACATGAGTTAGCTATTATTATCATAGTGATATCACAGTCTCAGGTGAAATTGCTTTTAGCTTTTAGTTTCCAATTGTGGTAAAATACACATATAAAATTTGCCATCTTAACACACTTACAGCCTATAATTCAGTGGCATTTTGTTCTATTTTTTGACAGATTTTCTTCTTAATAATCTATAAACTTGATGAAATAAATTTAGTTGCTTTTTATCTTTTTCCATGTTATAGGACACTGTGTATGGCATGAGAAATATAGCTGTTGAATATTTTTAGAAAAAAAAAATCCCTCCAAAAATCATCTACAGCTTTCAAGAATCTTATCTTTTATTGTTTCTCCTTTGTATATCTGTATATTTAGATTCCTTGGGGGGGAGCACTTTTTAAAATTAAAATAACTATTTAACTGATACCCAGAAACATAAAGATTATACATATTTACAGGGTAACTATTATGTGATGTTTTAATTCAGATGTACATTGTGTAATGTTCAAATCAGGTAAACATATCTATCATTTCAATCATTTATCATTTCTTTGTGGTGAAAGCATACAATATCTTTTCTTGCAATTCTTTGAAATGTACCCTACATTATCATTCTCTGTAGTCACACCTACTGTGCAGCAGCCACCAGAATCTCTTGCTCCTATCTGTAATTCAGTGCCCATTGAGCAACTTTTACCCATGTCCACATCTCTGTATATTCACTTGGTAATTCATAATTTACACTTTGATGAAAATAATTTAGCTTTCATTTATTAACAATTCATCTGTATGCATTTCTGTGTAATCAGTTTTTCACTTACAACTTGCCTTCTAGGTACTTTTAAATTTTTTTTCTTGCAGTTGCTGATTTCTGTCTATTTTGTGTAGACATGTGTGCTTTCCTTCAAAGAACCAGTTCTTAGGCTCATTGACCATTTTCTGTTTTTCCCTAAAATCCTTAGTAATTTTTCTGTACCTTTTTTTACATCATGAGTTGGAAATTTTGCTATTTCATTATTTCCTTGGCAATATGATAACAATTAATGCTGTTTTTACTTACGTTCTGGGAAATGTTATATTACCTTCTGGTAATATAACTTTTATTTTGATCATTTTCCAAATCATCTGTTACATAGTTAAAATAGTATTTCAAGAAATTCTTGAAATCATTTATTTAGAAAATGTTTGCAATAGTTACTTAATAGGTTAATTTCCATGATGTTGGTATTTTATTTGTAGTGTTATTCACATTTAGTTCCCTACGCTGAGGTCATTGAATATAAACTGTGTATTTTCTGTATTTCAGAGTCAATTAAAACTTTTTTATGGCTTAATATGTGACACATTTTATGAAATATGAAGTATCATAAAATCTGTGTGTATATATAAATAAATAAATATATATATAATCTCTATAGCATACTATTTTAAGTATTCTGTTTTTTTCATATTTATTATCCTGCTCATTTTTATACTTTGATTTCCTTTTGAAGGTTATCATTATGATTGCATTCCTGTCCTATTTTTTCATGGATTTTTAGTGTTTTGAACTACATGGTTTTTTGGGGAACAGTTATACAGACAAGTTTTCCTCTATTTTTGATACATTTATGGTGTCCCTGGGATGCAAGACTTAACAATAGTCCCTTATCTGAACCTCTCTTGCCCTTTCATTTTTTTTTCTATTGCTCATCTATAAACTATGCAGAGAGCTCTGTGCAAGCGGAAGAGCCATATCTTTTACTTACCAGTTTCCTGGTCCCTCTATCCACCTATCCCACCAGTGTCACATCTCAATTAGGAACTACTTCCTCACAAAGGATAATTTTATGCAGTGTTTGAAGAAAAAAAATTGTTTGCAAATTCTAGTTAAGACTGAGATCAAAATTGATAGTTTTCTCTTGCTTTCCTTCACAGGCAATGTCTTTAAACACAGAAGAAGACATCCATAAGAACTTCCAGATGCTTCTCACCCAAGTGAACAAGCCTGGCTCAAAGTACTTGCTTACAACGGCCAACAGGCTCTTTGGAGAGAAGACCTGTGATTTCCTCTCAGTAAGTTGAGTCAGTAGAACAATAAAAGTCGTATTTAAAATACCTGGTGATATACAACCCAGAAGAGAGACCCTAGACACCAGGCAGGATGGCACACTTGGGAGGTTGAGGCAGAGGATGGAGAGTTAGAGACCAGCTTGGGCAACCTAGTGATACCTTTTCTCAAAAACAAAATGGCTGGCGCAGTGGCACATGTGCCAGAAGCTCAAGAGGCTGAGACTGGAGGATCATGAGTTCAAAGCCAGCCTCAGCAACATCAAAGAGCTAAGCAACTCAGTAAGACCCTGTCTGTAAATAAAATACAAAATTTGGCTGGCGATGTGGCTCAGTGGTCGAGTGCACATGAGTTCAATCCCCGTACCGAAAAAGAAATGGAAAAAAGAAAAAGAAAACAATGCCTTGGGACATAGCTGCTTGATAGAACATTTGCCTAGCATGCTTAAGGCCCTGGGCTCAATCCCCAGTGCTTCAAAACAAGCAAACAATGAAACAAAACCCAGAGAAGTTGAGAAACTTATCATAAATTTTTTTTAAAGACCCCTGATTCTATAATCATACCTGTATTGTTTCAAATTGTACCATATCTAAATTTTATTTTCTTTCATGTATATATCTCAGGTTATTCAGGGCTCAGGACATACTTCCTAACAAATTTAGTTATTTCAACATCTAGTAGCTTAAGATGTGATCATGTTTAAAAGATCTGTGTGCTCTTTTTAATTTTAAAAAAGCATATAGATGGCATTGAGAATGTTTTGAAGCTCACTGACATTTTATTTAGTAACATGGCCTCACTGAACACTTTTCTCTCCAAAGACATTTAAGGAGTCCTGTCTTCAGTTCTACCATGCGGAGATGGGGCTGCTGTCCTTTGCTGAAGCTACAGAGAAGTCCAGGGAGCATATAAACACCTGGGTCTCAAAAGAGACAAAAGGTCAGAATTATGACTCATTCCCCTCTCCTCCCACCCCAGCTCTGCCCTCTCCTCCCCTAGGCTAACTGCCTCCTGACTGCTAATGTCACTGGTGTTGCAGGAGGTCAGAGCAAGGTTGCCTGGCTGAGCCTCATGGTGTGTGAACCTTAGTGGCTCACGGGAAATCTGATCAATGCTCAGGTTTTCAAAACCAGAGGATTAATCCTATCAGTTCTCCTGGAACCAGAGTGACTGATAAAAGTGTTAAAAAAAAAAAAAAAAAAAAAAAACCTCTTAGGCCAGATTTCCCATGTAATATTTTACATTAGAACATACTGTCACTGTCCTGTAATGTTCACATGGCAGCTGACTGTCCTCTCTGGGAGAAGATCAGTGGCCAGCTCTTCTCCAAGTCATGCCCTTGGCCCTCCTCTTCCTGGGGTCCGTTTGGACTGCATTCCTCCCACTTTTACATGTGAACCTGACTTCTACTGCTTCTTTCCTATCTCTCACTTAAGTGCACTTCATGAGACTTGAGAAGCCACGACTTCTTTAGTCAACCACAGAACCTGATGTTGAGCCACATGGCTGATTCATTGCACAGACTAAGAACACCCCCAAGATCAATGATGATGTTTTAATGTTTGAACCATTCAGACACTTGAACCACTAACAACATCAGTATTTCTGCTAACAAATGAAATGGTAAAAAATAGAGGTAGTTCTTTCCTCAATTTCTTCTTAGAATCTTTATTTCTTGTGCCCTCTTGAGGGAGCAAATTAGCAAGTAATATTCTTAGTTCCTTGGAAACATACCCTTTGATATCCAGGGTAAGAAGGAAGTACCTTCACCTACCCAAATCATTATCTGTTCCAGGGATACCAGGAGGATGCAATCATAATATCTCTTCCAATAGTTTCCAGAAACACCTCCTGTGCCCCTTGTGTGGACCCATCCATTCTATCTGCCCTAGGAATGTTGCAGGAAGCTGTATAATGTTAGAACTGGGCCTGACCACAGGGCCTTAGACCTGACACTGCTCTTACCCACAGCAGGTAACATCAGCTCCTACCCAGCCCCTCTCTCCTTTGCTGTTTGTCTTCTTCTCCAACCTGGTGTCAAGTTTCTGCTCAGTCCCAACCTGCTTTCCTCCAGTGACTTGGAAGTCTTTCGCCATCTTCAACTTGGTGGCTCTTCCAGTGTCTGTTGTCATCAATATCACTCATAGCTAGAATTTTTAACTTTTGTACATAACCATCAGAACACCATATTTGAAACCCAATTGGATCTCCAAGACATCGTGTCATGCTTATTCACCACGGGTTCATAAAAAGCAACTGATTGTCTCTGCTTTATCTTGAAAGGAAAAATTCAAGTGTTGCTGCCACCTAACTCGATTGATGAGCAGGCCAGGCTGGTTCTTGTCAATGCCATCTACTTCAAAGGAACATGGGACGAGCCATTTGACAAAACATGCACGCGTGAAATGCCCTTTAAAATAAACCAGGTAGGGAGAATCTTTAAAATATTATGCTAATCTGGTGAAGAAATTTAATAGAAAATTTTAACTTCGTAAGATATAAATGGTTAAAAATAATTTCAAATTTATTATCTCTCTTAATGAATTTTAAATTCACTAAATATTATATGAAAAAATAATACTTGCTGTGTGTGATTGTTTGCAACCTTTACAGGTCTTACTACTTCTGATAACTCTTATGCATGTATTGCTACTATTAATTCTGGAAACTATAGGTTTCTGTAAACCCAGGTGCTTAGATAATAATAAAAAATAGGTGAGATATTTATATATATGTGTGTGCGTGTGTGTATGTGTGTGTGTACACACACATGTCAAACATGGGACAGGTCAAACAAGTTAATGTGATTACACATTTTTTTTAATTAAGATTTTTTTGATGTGTTTTGTTTTATGCTTTTTCATTGCTGGGAATCAACCCCAGGGCCTTGTGCTGCTCCTCTACCACTGAGCTACAACCCAGCCTTTTAATCAATTTTTTTAAATTAAAATAAGCTTTCCTTTGAGTTGTTGTTAATAATAACCTATCATTATTAATTCAACATTTGTTGCTTTCAATTATTAAAAATGAGTTGTAAAAGACTTAGTCAACTATGAGGTATAACTTCAATTAAAGCAGAAATAAAAATAGTTTACCAAACTCCCTAATCCCTTAAAATATAAATTTAATGCAATAGGAAGCTTGTATGCATTAACTCCTCCCCCTCTTTGAAAGGCATATTTTAGATAACTATTAATTTTTAGCAGTGCTGGATCACCATTCATTTAATAGTTTTCTTGCCCCTTTTTGTACTGTTTTAAATTCTGTGCTCATCTGTTCATCCCTCCCAGAAGGAGGAAAATCCAGTTCAGATGATGTGTCAGGAAGCCTATTTTAACATCGGCTACGTGAATGAGGTGCACACACAGGTGTTGGAGCTGCCCTACGTCGGCAAGGAGCTGAGCATGATCATTCTGCTCCCAGACGATGGTGTGCTTCTCAGCTCGGTGAGTAAGGAGGGGCTGCAGTCCTTTGCACTCAGAATTTCTGAGGCAAAAATGTGGTTATGCTGTTTGCTCTTTTTCACGAAAGCTCCACCACCATTTCCGACCTTTGTGTTAGCCCTTCAAGTGAGTGATGCCTACAAACTCAGCCTGCAGAGCACAGTTTAGTTCAAGACTGGCTTCCACTTTACTCTATGTGAGGCCCTTACAATGACATAACCCAACTCAGCCTCAGTTTTTTCATTGCTAGAATTGGAAAATGATGATGTGTGCCTGATAGTGGTATTGGGAGGACACAGTGGGGGCAGCTTCTGTAACAACTCAGCATGTTGCCTGACAAACAGTAAACTCTCTCCAGATGGGTTTCATCAGCATCACCATTGTCAGCATCATATTTAAATTCTAAGAACCTATGCTAGAGGTTGAGACAATCCTACACTTTGACCTAACAAACAGGATGGGGAGAATGGTGGCAGTTAGGGAGGTGTGAGGTCCAATGCTCAGAAGGCAGAACCAGAGACAGCCCCAAATGGCCCATCCCTGTCCTCCTTGCTTCCTTGTGGTATGATCCCTATAGAGAGAGTCAACCATCCTCTCAATGGTGGCAGTGGAAAGGGATGACCTAAGGAGTCTGTAAGCAGAGCCACCCTATGGGTTCTTCCTTTGCCCAGCTCCCAACTGTGACAATGATTTTCCACAATCAGTGTCACATCCCACATTAGGCAGATATCCTCTCCTGGAGGGGCTCACACTGAGAGCCCTTCCTTTTCCAGTCTGTTTTTCTTACCAGCGATGGTTCATTGTCTGCAAAACTAAGCTTCGTTCGAACCAACAAATACCACTAGATATGCCATCCACTGGGCGTGGACACTTGTCAGAATGAAACATCTACAGTGGATGGATAAGGAGGGGCAGCCACAGTCTCCCTGCAGGGAAGTCACATATGGGATAGCACGTGGGGTGGTGGACAAGTCAGATCCCTCACAAGCTTCCGGGCAGCTGAAGAAGCCTCCCATCCTGTGTGGACAGTCAACATGGAATGTTCATGGAAATGTCTGTGTGGTCTGTAGATACGCACTGAAGTCTGAATGTGAACCTGTGATTCTGGTCTTTCAGGTGGAAAATAACCTGACTTTTGAGAAATTCATAGCCTGGACC